GTCCTGAATACACAAAATAGAAATGCATATTCATGTCCCTGTCACTTCCTCTGCCTCCATTCGTATGCTAATTGGCAAAAAGTCCATTAAGCATGTGTAGTTTTGTAATGAGTCAGTGGTCTGTTTTGGGGAGGGGGGTCTCCAAAATGGAGAATAAAATAAGTTCCTCGTTCTGACCTTTCTACCTTTCCCATGCATATGTAACAAATGAATCCCTGTAGTTTTCCTGTGTTTAATGGATTCCTAAAGTATGGGAAGTCTGCAACAGTTTTTGTGTCCTTGAATTCTGTTTATCACATTCTGTTTTTCATGATAAGCACAGCTACCCAAACAAAAAGCTGACAAGCAATGAGTTAATAGATCCTGGATATCTTATCTAAGATTTGGCTACTGTTAACTATGAGCAAAACCTATTTATCTACATCTGCTCACCCAGGAACATTTAATTTAACTTTAATCTTAACTTTCCAAAAATTCTTAATTCTTCAAAATTAATGTCTCACCTCCTGTGGGAGTCCAGGGGTTCCCTCTGGCTGCCCTGGGACCCTGGCAGGGGTCAGGAACCCCCCTGGACAGAGCCCCCAGAGACACTGGCTGTGATCTCTGGCCATGGAAAAGAGTTTTCAGTCTTACAGGATCAATTACCAGCTCTGAGTGTTTGATATCAGTAATAATTACGTGTGGCACGGGTGCAAAAGTAAAATTTTAGGATTCTAGATTAGGGGTCCAAAGGGGACAAGATGGAGGAAATTGGATGTGTTTTGTCCTTTTTCTCCTTCTTCATGCCCTCCATGTTTCACTGTGGTGTTGGCATTTTTCTGTTGGTTCAGGCTGGGGACACACTGTCCAACGTAGGTGACAGATATTGGCACGTTATTGTAAATCCAGCACAGGTAGTTTGTGGTATTTAATGTTTGTACCATCCCACTGAGGGCAGAGCCCCACACGCTGCCCTGCAGGACAGAGCTGCGGCAGGGCAGCAGAACATGTTAGAGATAAACAGAATAAACAACCTTGAAAACAGCACAGATTAATTACAACTTCTCCTTTGGCAGCGGGGCTGACACACAGAGACTTTCTACAATCTCAGAATCACCAATACCCACAGATTCTGACAGGCTCCCAGCAGAGGAGGAGCAGAGGATGCTCTCCCCATCCCCTGCATCCCCAGGGTTCAGGAATTGGGGCTCAGCTCCCCAGGGTGGCACGGAGGGAGCTCCGGGAGCTCCTCTGAGCTGTCCTGAGCAGCACAACTTCACTTGGACATTTTCAGAGCGTCCCACCTGTCTTCCTGGCATTTTTCCACCGCCAAAAAGGAAAGTCCCAAGGAGATGCAGTGATGCAATCCTTGAGTCATCCTCTAAAGAGCAGCGGTGGGCGAGGGCTGGGCTGTGAATCACAGCTCCTCACTGCAGCCCCCGCGGCTGCCAACTGCCCGGTTCCTTGTTTTTTGGCCTATTTTTCCTTTTATTTGGCCATTTGACAGTGGCTGTTCATTACAGGACTTTTTGAGATGCCTACTGCCGTCGGCTCAGGGCTGCCAGTAATTTTTTAATGAATTTCCCCCTGATAGAGATGAACAAAAGAGCTGGAGGAGAGGGTTTGATTTCCAGCCTCTGGCAGCACTTTATAAACAGCTCAGCTGATTAAAAAGACAAGGGTGCTCTTTTAATAACAGGTTTTGTCAGGGTTCAGCTAATTAATTTCAGAGGAAAATGGAGCATTTTGGTAAAGCAGCCACTTGAGCTCCTTTTTCTGTTCAGCTTCTCTTTGGCTTCATGATAGAATTTCCCCCTTCATGATAGAATTTCTCCCTTCATGACAGAATTTCCCCATCTCATTTGAAGGGTGATGGAAATTTAGGATGGTTTAGGTCCCTTCCAGCCTGGCCAAACCTCACCCTGCTGCCCACCCCCCTGGAAAATGTGGGCAGGGTGGGAATGAGGAGCTCTCCAAGCTGCAGCCTTGGCATGCTGCAGGATAACACAGAGGGGAAATTGCTGGCAAAAAATTAAATAAAATAAAATTCAAATGAACCCTTTCAAATTAACCCCTCCTGTCCTCTCCTGCCACACTGAGGGCTCCCAGCTGCTGAGAAATCAGGTGTGAGAAGGAAATGGAGAGAAAGGACGTGGAAAATTTGGATTCATGCAGTGGGAAGAAGCAGCAGGGAGTCTGTGACCACTCCAAAGGTGAGGGACGAACTCCATTCCCACTTTTGCCTTGTTTTCCCTGGATTCCTGATTGTCTCCCTCTTCTACTCCCCGGTGTGTTGCACACCCAGGGCTGGGGAATACCAGGACAAGCAGCGCAGTGCCAGGCTGGGGGAGCTCAGCAGAGCTCCCTGGGCACAGCAGACAGCAAAAAAGCAGAATATTGCACCCAGCAGGTCCTGCTGGATAAAACCAGGTTCATTTGCCCTGCAATCTTCACCTTATTTAGAGGCAACCCCGTCCCTGTTGCCCTCCCCTTGCTCCACTTGTGAAATAAATGTCTATTTTTGTGCTCAGCTCCTGCCTGTTCCCCACGTACTGCCAGGGAAATGAAGAGCTGTGTTTATTCCAAATGGCCTTATTGAAGCATCAGGAAGCACAAATCAATTTCCAAACAAAGTCCTGTGGTACCCCAGGAATCGGAGCTGACAAACACAGAGATTTGCTGGGATAAATTAATAGCCAGGCAAGATAAAAGGCAAGGCAGGCCATAAAATGAATCAGGTACAATATACTCCCTAAATGTGGAGCTCAGAAGTAAATAACCAGCAGAGGGGTTTTAAAAGTCAACCTGGGAAAGCAAATTCTGGGAATTTGCCATGGAGGAGTCACTCCTGCCCGTGGTGGGGCTGCAGGAGGAAAACGCTGCTGGGAATTAAAACCTTCCACTTTTCCAGCTGCTTTGGGCAGAGGCAAATTCAGATTTCCTGATGTTCTCCTCCAGTGCTGGTGGGGCTTTGCTCTCTGGTTGAGGCTGCCTGCAGAGATTGGGAAATGCTGGGGTTTTGTCAGAATCTGTGGGTATTGATGATTCCAGGATTGTAGAAAATCTGTCTTTCTGCCCCATTGCCAAAGAGGTACAGACCTTTAGCCAGGAGAGCAGGAAATGTTAATGAGCTCTTAATTAGCCCCGAGTTTCTCTCACACCCACTCCCTGCACTCGCACGGGGTTTGGACCAGAGGTGTTGGTAGCATCTCGGCCACCCAAAAAAAAAAAAAAAAAAAAGTGTGAACAGGGTGAAATTTGGTGGAATTTTTAGCTGCTGTGGCATCACCTGCTGAATTCCACAGGCAAGAGCCTTCCTGGCAAAAAATAAATCACCAGAGGTCCAGGAGGATTTGCAGAGTGTCCAACAGAGACTTTCTCAAGTGGCCCCCAGGCTGTTGGATCTTTCCAGGTGGAAATCCAAGAAGATGGAGGGATTTCCAGCTGGAGGGACGCATCACAAAAGTAGTTTGTGCCAGTTTTTAGGGCTGGTTTGGAAAGGATTTGAGAACAAAGCTGCTCACGCCTGGGAGTTCGGCAAAACAGCAGCAAGAAGATTTCAGGAGAAAATCCACCAAGGCCAGCAAAGGATCTTTAAGGAGGAGTTCAGGCAATGCAGGAAGAAAGGGCTGGGAGAAGGCGGGACAGGGACACCCCCCAAATCTTCTGGGGAGACCAAATAACTCCCAAAATAGGTGTGACACGGGCACAGGAGACAGAGATGGCTCTGAAGGTGCAGGTTTGGCTTCCCTTGGATGCATCCCTGGGGCTCTGCCCAGCACAGCCCCCACCCGGGCACACAGCTCATCCTTCCATGAGATAGAAATGGCAAAACCCAGCTGGTGGCTCAGGAGAACCTGGCAGAGACTCCTGATGCTCTGGAGTCACGTAGGAATTCATTAAATCCTTCCCAAAGCACTGGAGAAAGGGTTTTTTGAAACGTGATTCATATCGTTGGAATACTTTGGGATCAAGCCTGGCTTAAATCTCAGAAGGGGGAAGAAAAAATGGTGCTGCCATTAAACAATCAGCTGCAAGGAGCTGAGGGTGTCCCAGGGAGGATTAAACCCCACAGCCAGCCCATAAATCCTGCAGACACAGCATTTATGGGTTTATGCTCTTGTGTGGCCGCAGTGCCATGGTCAGAGCAGGTGCAAAAGAAAGAAAAAAAACCCCAAAATGAAATAGCAAAATAAAACAACCAGCCCACAACCAGAGCACAGAGGGAGTTTGGTTACATAAGGATTTATTCTTCCTTCATTTATTCTTCCTTCCTCAAAACCCATCTGCTGCTCAGGAGCTCATTTCTGTGTATTCATCCCGATTCCTGGACTGCATTCCAAAAGTCTCCATGGCCAAGTGTGGAGTCTTTTTTCATTTCCCTCCCCTCTCCTGCAGTGTTACAGGAATTGCTGGCGCTTGTGCTGCATCCCACACTTGTCCCCAGTGCTGTGGAGAGAGGAGAACCAGTTTTCCTCCCGGTTTTCCTGTTTCCACCAGTTTTCCGGCCTCTTTCCTCCCAGTTTTTCTATTTCCTCCCAGTTTTCCCATTTCCTCCCAGTTTTCTTGTCTCTTTCCTCCCAGTCTGCAGGAATTCCAGGCTTGTTCCTGGAGTTTTCAGCACTGCAGGAATTCCAGGCTTGTTCCTGGAGTTTTCAGCACTGCAGGAATTCCAGGCTTGTTCCTGGAGTTTCTAGAATTACAAGAATTCCAGGCTTGTACCTGGAGTTTCTGGAATTACAGGAATTCCAGGCTTGTTCCCGGAGTTTCCAGCACTGCAGGAATTCCAGGCTTGTTCCTGGAGTTTCTGGAATTACAGGAATTCCAGGCTTGTTCCTGGAGTTTCCAGCACTGCAGGAATTCCAGGCTTGTTCCCGGAGTTTTCATCCCAACACACCCCAGTGCACAGAGTTTCTTTCAGCCCCTGCAGCCACAGTTGGTGACTCCTGGCTCTGGCTCAGCCTCCTCCTCCTCCCATACATATTTATGAGCCCAATTATCACTGAACAAGCAGGTTGCTGTGCAAACAAATGATTTTTAATCTAAATTACCCAGTTTACACACTCCCCCCAGCTCTGCTTAGCAGAACAGCTGGTGTTTACCAACTCCTCATTACCCATCCAGGCAACAGCAGGAGAGGCTGCCCGGAGAGGAGCAGCCACCTCTGAGACAAGCTGAGCTCCGGGTTCATCCCTGCCTCAGCCTCGCTGCTCCCCCACCTCAGGTCTCTCATCCAGCCCAGTTGGCACCACTGTGCCACGAAGGAATGATGAAAAAATGCCCTCTGATAACAACTGTTATTGTTGGGTGCTGTGTTTCTGCAGAAACAAATTATTTCCATGAAAATCCAAATATATCCAGCTCTCTGTCCATATCTGTATTTCCATTTATCAGCATTTCCTTTCTCCCCATTCCACGGGAGGCTCACACCTGAGCTCAGATGATGCAGGAATTATTCCTGTCGTGGTATTTCCACTGTCCAACAATGAACAGATGGGAGAGAAATCCAGCCCCTCGTTATTCCAGGCCTTAAACATCCCCCTGAGGCATCAAAACATGGGCTCACAGTGCCGGGACTGGGAGTGCTGGTGCCTGGAAGGCCAAGCTGGGGAAGGACCAAATGCAAGCAGGGATGCTCCTGCAGCTCCTGGCAGCCTCTGGAAGCGCTGGGAAGGAAGGTGCTGCTGCATGTGCCTCCCTCCAGGCCTGTTTCCAGCCTGTCTGGCTGCAGGCAGGGAGGAAAACTCCTGGCCTGGGCATGGAACAGGCGGTCACACGTGGCTGGGGAAGGAGTCACACGCCACAGCACCGCTGGTGTCAGAGGAGATTTGATCCATCCCTTCCCTTTCCCCTATTTCTGCCTCCAGGCAGGGCGCTGGTGGTCGATGTTTTCTGCAGGATAATTCCCACATTCCTTCTCAATTCCCACATTCCTTCTGCTCCCAGAGCTTTCTCCTGGAGCAGCAGCACAGACCTGGCCAGGCTCTGCACCCCTCAGGTGTCCCACAGAATGAGGGCCAACATCCCCACCCTGGGCAGGGTGGAGGATGAGAGGAGCTGCAGGAGCTGAGCCACCACCTGGTGACCTCCTCTGGCACAAAGTCCCCACATTTCTCTGCCCACAAAACCGGCTGGGGGGATGGAATATCCTCATCTTTCCTTGGGCACCGACCCAGGACTTGGTGCACATGAACAACAGCTTTCAATTTCACTGTATTGTGAATTTGAATTAGCCCTGGTCCCCCTGAGCTCTCATCCCTCTGCATCACAGCATGTGGGAGGGACGGGGAAAATGATATTTTACAGGATGCTCCCAAGGAGGAAGACCTTCTCCACCTGCAGGCACCACAAATTTGTTTTGCTGTGATTTAAGGAGGACACATTTGGTTCCAAAGCAGCTCCAGAGTCACTGTGTGAATCAGAACATCTCTGTTTTCCTGCTGGAGCTGGGCTGAGTCAGCCACTGAGCCTGTGTTTAAACAAAACCCTCAGGCCTTCCAGAGCTCCTCTCCACACCCTGATTTCCAGCTGCCCATCTTCCCCTGGCACAGAGCTGTGAGACCCTGATTTCCCCGGGTGTGAAAAGATCCAGAGGGTGTTGAGGGGTCGGAATGATCCTTACAGACCATCTAGACCAAAAATAAAAAAGGAGAACTGCCTGAAAAGCTGCAGAAAACATCCTTGCATGGTGAGCACCAGCCCATGGGGTGGCTGGGGCAGGGAGGTTTTGGGGAGCCCTGAGCTCACTGGATTTCACCCCAAGGGAGATTCTCCTGCCCTGGGCTGGGTGTGAGGCTGCCCGGCAGCAATGCTCGGTAAACACACACAGTAAATAATCATTGCCCCGGTGACAAACGCCTGGAAGGGATTGGAAGAGGAAGCTGAAGCAGGGAGGAAATAAATATACTGCATTTACCAAAGCCAGGCAGGGCAGCACGGGCAGGAGGGACAGGGAGCAGGGTCTGGTGGGAAGCCCAGATGGCCACTGGTTGCCAAAGCAAAGAGATCAGCTGGGAAAAACTCTCCTCCTTCCCCTGTGCTCCAGGCTGGAGAGAACGCCGAGCTCGGGGTTTGCAGGTGTGAAAAATGCATGTTTTATGTTTGGCTTTTTGCAAATATTACAATTAATATTATATGTCTCATGTTAGAAAGTTGTGCTGTACTAATTTTCTTGAGTGGTGTGTTCAATTGTGAAAAATGCATACTTCATGATTGGCTTTTCACAAATTTTATATGTGTAATGTTAGAAAGTTACGCTGTATTAATTCTCTTAAGTAGTGTGTTAAATACAGTTTTAGATTACAACATAATGTTAAAGTAGAAATTCTGCCATATAGGATTTGTTACAAGCTCAAGCAGGAAGATGAGATAATCAAGAAACTGTTCACACAGAGACATCAGCAAAGGGGGCCCATAAAGAGTTCCTGCCTCCTTATCAGAAAAGACAAACATTCTTCCACCTTCTCTCTGCCTTTTTGGAACCACCAAGATTAAGGAGAAGAAGTTGACAAAATCCAGAAAAGTTCTTAATTTGGAAAAAATTTATGCATCATGTATGAGATACATGAATATGCAACAGGCTGTTGCTTTTAAGGTTATTCCTTTGTTCACAAGAGATGCTTTTTTGTGACATAGTGTCCAAGAGCATCCGGACGTCCGTAATTCTTTGCTTTTTATTGTCTTGTAATCGTCCTAACTCTAAACTTTATTACTCTAATTGTATTACTATTTTTACAACCATTTTATCATTATGAAACTTTTAAAAAATTTTAAAAACCAAGTGACTGGCGTTTTTCACCCAGGGAAGCCGCTCCCGCTGCAAAAATGAGCATTTATTGCTCTCTGGTGGCGAGTCTGGCTGAGCAGCAGAGCTGTGAATTCCTGCCTGGGAGAACCGCTCTGCTTGGAAAATCCCTCCAAGGTGATCGAGCCCGACCATTCCCCCAGCACCAAACCGTGTCCCCAAATGCCACATCTGCGTTTTGGCACCTCCAGGGATGGGGCTCCAGCAGCTCCCATTCCTCTGCTCCTTTCCTGTGCTCCTGCACCCAGAGGTTGGGTGGCAGGGCTGGGCTGAGGTGGGCTCTGCCTCCCCCTGAGCAGGTTTTTCTGCCCCAGATGAGGCTGGACCAGCCCCTTTATTCCTCCTCACTTCCCTAATTCTGTCCCTCACTGCCAAAAGCTTTGGCGGTGTATTTTTTTACAGGAGAGGGATTTGGCAGAGGTGCCACCACAGAGCTTGTGGAGCAGAGCAGACGAGGATGAAAACCAGGTGTAAATAAAGGAGTTGCTGTTTCCAACACGTTTGGGTCGGGCTGAGCTGCTGCAGGGTGTGGGGCAGCTGTGGGGACACAGCACACAGCATCACTCCCCATCCCCATCCCGAGCAGGGCACTTCTGAACCCCCCAGGAGCTCTGCCCTGCTGCACCCCAACTCCAGCCCCGCTGCTGGGGCCTCATCCTGCCCTGGCTGTGCCACCTCCGCTCTGGGCACTGCCCTGCTCCTGAAAAACAAGGGGCAGGAGCCCAAGTGCTTGGGAGGAGCAGCCCAAACCCTTCAGCTCCTCAGGACGTGGTGCAGGACTCTCCTGGGCCGCTCCTGGAGAGCACATGGACCTTGCTGGATGGCTCCACTGGTGTCCCCAGGCTGGCAGACGGGTCACACCACGCGGCCACCTTGGCTCAGCCACCGTGGCCGGTCTGTGGCACAGCCTGGCGTGCCCTCAGGTGCCCCCGGGGCTCCGGGGATGGCACCCAGCTTGGCACGGAGCCGGGCGTGCAGCTCCTGGTCTCCCAGCTCGGCAGCTGCAGCGAGGGCCAGCAGGAAGTAGGAGGCTGCATCCTCTTCATCCTGAGCAGAAAGCAGGGCACAGAAGTTAGGGAGGAGCTCAGGAGGGAGCTGGGGCAGAGCCTGGGGGGTCCAGGCAGGACCTGATGTCACTGGAATGCTGCTAAGCGAGAGCACTTCTTTCCAAATTACCTTCCCCCCTTCAAAGCCAGAAGATGCCACCTCCACCCTCAGCTCTGGGTCCAAGCCAAGCAGCACGGGAGGGCTCCTCGCTCACCTGCAGCTTGTGCAGAGCCAGGTTGCCCAGGTGCCAGTAGACCTTGCAGTAGTACAGGGCCTCTGCTGAGCCCTGCAGCACGGGGGGACGCATGGCCAGGGTCTTCAGGTAGCAATCCTCGGCCATCTCGTGCATGTGCAGCAAGTCATAGGCTGTGGCCAGGCGGTGGAAGGCAACCAGCTCCTGCAGCTGATCCCCTGGAAAAGAGAGAGGTGGGATCAACCAGCTCCTGCCATGGATCCCATGGAAAAAGAGAGAGGTGGGATCAACCAGCTCCTGCCATGGATCCCCTGCAAAAGAGAGGGGTGGGATCTATCAGCTCCTGCCATGGATCCCATGGAAAAGAGAGAGGTGGGATCTATCAGCTCCTGCCATGGATCCCATGGAAAATAGAGTGGTGGGATCAACCAGCTCCTGCAGCTGATCCCCTGCAAGAGAGAGAGGTGGGATCTATCAGCTCCTGCCATGGATCCCCTACAAAAGAGAGGGGTGGGATCAACCAGCTCCTGCCATGGATCTCCTGGAAAAGAGAGAGGTGGGATCAACTGGTTCCTCCCATGGATCTCCTGGCAAAGTTGCTGATCCAGCTCAATCCATGCCCAGCCCTGCTGAGCCACTTTGGATGCATTTTCTCAGCAGCCTGGGGGCACGGATACTCTGAGAGAAAACAGAGCCATGGGCTGGGTGGTTGATGCCACAGTGGGACAGACTGGCCCAGAGTATCATTCAGCCAGGGGATTTTTTTGGGTTACAAGACTGGTCCCATCCCAGACACTTAAGCTGGCACTTGGCCCATCCTAACTATTTCTGGAATGGGAAGGGGTGAGGTTTTTAGCAGAGCCAGGGCAGAGAGGAACTGCTGAGTTCTGTGCTTTTACCAGACTTCCTGTGCTCTGGGGTAACAAAAACCCTCTGCTGTCACACAGCTGAAAAAAAGGGAAGTGGCCTTAAAAAGATGTCTTGACTTTGGGTAAGAGTAGGTCCAGCAGCGTTAGGAAAGCAGGAGAGCCCCTTTTCACATGGATCTTGTTCTCATCCACAAGATTCAGTGGCTCCCCCTAAAAAATACCCACTGCACAGTAACTCCCAGTAACTCCCAGTACGGTTTGGGTGTAAATCACTCACCGACCCTGAGGCTGAGCCTGGCTGCCAGCGTGGCAAACTCCAGAGCCTTCTCGTAGCCCTGCAGGCTGATCTGCAGCTCTGCCAGTTTATTGAACAGCCGCAGCTCTGTCTGGGTGGCCTTGAGTTTCCTGGCCAAGGGCACAGCACCTCCCTAAGGAGAGGGAATGGTGAGTTCAGGATGCTCCTGGACGGGTCAGCAGTGCCTGGGAGTGGTGGCAGAGAAGCAGGACAAAGAGCAAAGCAGGAGTGGGCACTGCAGGTTTAGGTTTTAGTCCCTTCTTTCCCTTGAAAATGAGTTTTAAATCCCAGAGTGTGTCTCTCAAAACCACATCTCTGCCCTTCCTTGGGTGCCTGGAATTCTGACTGGGTGCAGCCAGGAGTGACCAGCTCACACTTAACACCACCAGGATTTGTAATGGAAGGAGCTCGTTCCCAATCCCAAACAATCTCTGGGTTTTTTGCAAACCTGTGCTCCTGGCACCCTCAGGATCACCCCATCCCTCACCATCCTTGGGACAAAGCCCCCCCAGCCAGCACCCTGTGGGGACACAGGGACAGAAATGCTCCGAGGGCTCCATACCCTGTAAAACTCCACTGCCCGGGCCCTGTTCCGGCTGCCGTTGAAGAAGGTGTCACCTGCTTTCTCATAAAGATCCATGGCCAAGGAGACGTTGTCCCCTTTCAGAGCAGTCTGGATGGCTGCCTGGAAGGAAAAAGGGGCTGGAGTGACATTTGGAAAGGCAGAGACTTTGGTGTGATTAAATAAACCCCAGATTTTAGGAGCTGCTCTTCCACTTTGCAGCTCAGCTGATAAAATAATGCTGGAGATGGAGAGGTGCCAGAAGTCTTTAACTCTAAGGACTTCCCTGGCATTTATCCCTTATTTATGGATAGTTCAATGGGAACTGCTCACTTGGCACCTCCCGCTTCTTTTGGCACTCCCACATCACTTTCTGACTCAATGAATTCACTTCTTTTCACCCCAAAATCCTCTCAACTCGGTGGATGGAAAGAAAGAGAGGAAATTCGGTGCCTGAGGGTAAGGCAAGAGCTCCTCCTTCCAGCAGCAGCTTCACAGTGCTCAGAACTTTCCCTCCAGGTTTCCCAGCCCCAAAAGGCTGTGCTGGGAGTGCATGGCCCAGCTCCATACCTGGAAGTACATTTCCACCAGCTCGTCCTCCTGCAGGAGATAATAGAGTTTTCCTGCCTGCAGCCAGGCCTCTGCTGCCTTCGCAGCCTCCTCGAGGTCGATGAAGATCCTCAGGCTCTGCTTGGTGCAGTCCAGGGATTGTCTCAATGCCCTGTGATGGCAACAGGCAAAAAGCCACCTCAGAGAAGTCACAGAGATGTCCCCAGGCCACCTCCCCATGGCACTGACCCCCTGCCCTCTCCTCCTGTAGCTGCCAAAGGACATTCTCAGCTCTGAGCAATGTGTCCTGGTAAGATCATGGACTTCTCCCTGCTTTAATGCTCAGATCTAATGGGTATTTGGCCACCTTAGGACAATCCAGGACATCAGTGGTCCCACTCAGGCTGCTCCTCATCCCTGGGTGATTAAGAGGGCTTCATCCAGGTCACCTACAAACCAAATCTGCCTCCCTAAACCGAGTTCCAAAGTCACTCCCAGCTCCACATGGGAGCACAGGCGGGGAATGCTTGTACTTACATCTCCCAGACAGCACCTGGCACCCAAACCCACCCCTTTGCCTGGTGTTTGTCCCTTGTGCAGCCATGGGGAGAGCTCTGGCCCCATGTCCAAGCCCCTTTTCCAGCCCCTGGTCACTGGAGCACCCAGGGCCAGGCGGTGGGATGAGCTAGAGGGCTGGACACAGGGAGAGCCAGCTTGGTGTCTCTCCTGCTGGAAGCAGGCCCCAGGGAGTGGGGTGCTTTGTGATCCTAAATAACACCGTTCACATGACAGGCATCTGCTCCCTAAATACCTTCCCCCTGCACTCACCATGCCCTGGCTGGGGAGGTGAACATCCTAGCTGGGGACAACCCTGCCCATTTGTCCTTCTGGGACTGGGAACTGGCTCTCCACTCTTTGATCTGATTGCCTTCAAGGTGTGTGTCCTCTCCTCTCCTCTCCTCTCCTCTCCTCTCCTCTCCTCTCCTCTCCTCTCCTCTCCTCTCCTCTCCTCTCCTCTCCTCTCCTCTCCTCTCCTCTCCTCTCCTCTCCTCTCCTCTCCTCTCCTCTCCTCTCCTCTCCTCTCCTCTCCTCTCCTCTCCTCTCCTCTCCTCTCCTCTCCTCTCCTCTCCTCTCCTCTCCTCTCCTCTCCTCTCCTCTCCTCTCCTCTCCTCTCCTCTCCTCTCCTCTCCTCTCCTCTCCTCTCCTCTCCTCTCCTCTCCTCTCCTCTCCTCTCCTCTCCTCCTCTCCTCTCCTCTCCTCTCCTCTCCTCTCCTCTCCTCTCCTCTCCTCTCCTCTCCTCTCCTCTCCTCTCCTCTCCTCTCCTCTCCTCTCCTCTCCTCTCCTCTCCTCTCCTCTCCTCTCCTCTCCTCTCCTCTCCTCTCCTCTCCTCTCCTCTCCTCTCCTCTCCTCTCCTCTCCTCTCCTCTCCTCTCCTCTCCTCTCCTCTCCTCTCCTCTCCTCTCCTGGGTTAGGCAGGAGATTAAAGGTGAGCTGATACCAGGTTTTAAGCACCTCCTGTGGGTTTTAAGCACCTCCTGTGGGTTTTAAGCACCTCCTGTGGGTTTTAAGTCCCTCCCTGGGGACAATATCACAGCAGATATGGGAAGGGCAGCCTTGGCAGCTGGAGGCTGCAACCAGACTTGCTCCAAGAGCAGATAAGGAGCCTGTTCTTGCTGGGGAGTGCTGATTAATCATCGGGATAAGCTTCCAAAGGAAGCAATGTCACCTGTCACCCTGCTGAAGGTTGGATGTGTCCTGGAAAACTTTGTTTGGCCAGATTCCAGCTCTGTCTGGGACAATGTTTGCCCAGCTCTGGTTGACATTGAGCTGCTCCTTCTCAGGGCACAGCTGACAGCTCATAAATCTCAGAGCCAGAGCTGTGGGGCAGATGGAGCCACCGCACCCTGCTCGAGGCACACCCCGGGAACGGCACTGCACTCTGGCAGCGTGGCACAGCCCCAGGACTCACTCAGGTGTGCCCACAGCCTGGTAGAGCCGGCTGAGAGCCTGCCTGGCACTGGCCTCCAGCTCCCTGTCCTGCAGCTGCCGTGCCAGGGACGCCCAGTGCTCGTGGTAGGTGATGCAGGCCCGCAGGTCGGGGCACACTCGGCTGTAGAAGTGGCACAGACGCTCCGTGGCGTGCAGCTGACCTGTGTGGCACAGGGACAGGGACAAGGACAGCTCAGGGCACAGCGCCGGGCACCTGGCGGGGTCGAACGCCGCCCGGCTGCCCTCTATACTCACTCCTCAGGTTCTGCCACTTCAGGGCAAACCCCAGCGCCAGTTCGTAGCAGAGTTTGGCATCTCCCACCCTCTGCCTGTCCAGCATGGCCTGTGCCAGCCACAGCAGCGCCTGTGCCAGCTCCGTGTCCGGCTCGTGGCGGCCCTGGAGCTCGGCGTAGAGCCGCACTGACCACAGCAGGTAGAGCTCGGCCAGCTGGGCGGCCCCACACGAGAGGCTCAGCTGGCCCAGGTTGGCCAGGCACACGGCCTGGTTCCTCCTGCTGCCCGTCTCCTTGGCCTTGTGCAGGGCCCTCAGGAAGTTCTCCGCGGCCTCCTGGACACGGCCCTGGGCCGCGAGGGCCATGGCCAGCAGGTTGTGCACGGCCCCGCCGGGCGTCTCGCTGGCCACACCGCGCAGGGAGCGCAGCAGCGGCCGCAGCACGTCCCCGGCAGGGCCCGGCCGCTGCTGCAGGAGCAGCACCCAGCCCAAGGCCAGCGAGGACTCCAAGGCCTCCTCCTCACCCAGCAGCCCGCCCAGAGCTGCCGCCCTGGCTGCGTAACGAGCGGCCCCGTCCAGCAGCCCGTGCTGGAGGCACGTCCTGGAGAGCACCGTGCAGAGCGTCCTCTGCATGGGCACCGCCCTGCTCTCGCAGCAGAACCGCAGCGCTTGCGCCAGGTACGGACAGGCCAGCGCCGGCATGCTGCGCCCGTCCGCCTGCTGCTTCCCCTGGAGCTTGGAAGCGTTTTGGAGGATGAAGCCAGCTCTCCAGATGGGGCTGGGTGTCCCCTTGGCGCCGCTGGGAACGAAGGACCTGACGGAGGCCAGCGCGATGTTCGGCAGGCACTTCTTGTCATAGAGGTAGCCCAAGGTGGCGGTGGCATCCAGGGGCCCAGCACGGGTGCCTGGGCTGAGCCAGGCGCTGCTGAGGCACTGGAGGTGCTCCAAAAAGGGCAGCACCTCCTCGGTTCTGCCCAGCTGCAGGAAGAGCTTGGCAATGAGGAAGCAGATCCGGGCCTCCAGCGGAGCGTTGCCCACAGCGATGGATTCCCTCAGGACGTAGGTGAGGAGCTCCAGCTCGTTCTCCGAGCTGAAGGAGCGGCCAGGCAGGCACACGAGCAGCGTCACCGTCTTCCCCAGCAGCGAGGAGAACTTGTGCTTCATGTTCTGCTTCAGGTAGATGGAGGCGAGGCTGACGTGCAGCGCTGCCAGCAGGGGCAGGTCCCCAAAGCCCCTGTCCAGGACACTCATGGCTTCCTCAAAGTACACCCGGGCCTGGGAGAACTTGACCTTTTTGATGCAGAGCTTACCCAAGAGGAAACAGAGCCTGACGTGAGCCCAAACTGAACGAGTCCTCTTGGCCCAGTTCCGGGAAGTCTCGAGGTACAGGACCAGTTCATCCTCATCAGAGAAACCATAAAAAGTGGAGTGGAGAAAGGAAAAGCTGAGATCATAAAAGCTTTGAAAACTGGGCACGAAACTGTCTTGGTTGAGGAAGGTCAATATGGGGTCAAAGACATCAGCATCCTCCATGTGTCCAGTGTTGAGGTCGATGAAGAATTTGGGATAATCCAAGTCATCCAGCTTCTCCAGGAGAACATCGTCCAGGGTGGTAGGGGCTGTTTCACTGCCCGGGCTGGACAGCTCTGAGGTGCTGCTGGTAGCCCAGTCGTTGATTTCCTCCCAAGACTGGAGCACTTGGATTTCTCTACTGCCATGGAGAGCGGCCTCTGGAAGGGACAGGGAAAGCACAGTGGGATCAGGAAGAAATGTTCCCTGTGGCTGCCCCACCCCTGGAAGTGTCCAAGGCCAGGTTGGACAGGGCTTGGAGAAACCTGGGATAGTGGAAGGTGTCCCTGACCATGGCAGAGGGTGGGGCTGGATAGCCTTTAAGGTTTCTCCTGACCCAAACCATTCTCTGATGTTTTCTCCTGTCCAAAATCACCTTCAGAAGCCATCACCAAAGCCCCCCCCTCCGTCCCCTCCTCATACTCACCTGGTGGCACTTGTGGGAACATGGCTGTGGCTTCAAACCCAGCTGTGCAAAGAGACAAACAGAAAACAAAACCCCAAACCCTTGGTCAGTGTCAATGTGCAGAAGTCAGCTGAAGCCCCAAAGCCACCCAAAACCAGAAGAGAGAAAGTGAGAGCCCCCCAAAAACCCGGACCCTGGTCCTTCAGGCCAGGCTCAGTGAAGAGCAGCATCTGCCAGGGTGAAGCCCAGCTCGGGAGCTGCCCTGGCAGCAGAGAAGGTCCCTGCAGACTCCAGCATGGCAGGGCCACCTCCTGAGGTCACCTCCAGCCTCCGCCACCAGGCTGAGCATGGGTTTGTGCTGCCTCCACCCCAGAGGTTGCCTCCATGGCACTCCCATGATCTTGGGGCTCTCTGACACCATTGAGGCAGGACGGTGTGAAATGACTCCAGATCAGAAGGTGAGAAATAAAACTCTGATTTATTTCAAACACACCGCTCTATTTATAGAGAGCTTCATCCAGACCAGTTCTATTGGTCCTGAAGTGAAAACATCTCAACCATTGGTGTGCAGTGAATGATGCACAGTGGCAGAATTTAGCTATAAACAATGTGAACAACAAGAGAGATAATGAATTACTTGCATTCTTTCCCAACTGTTTCCCAGGCTTCTCCTGGTTAGAAACTTTCATTTTTTCTCTGACTGAACTGAGAATACCCCCAGCACTCCAGGCCCTGCCCAGCTCTCCACGGGGATGCAGGGACTGGGATATGAGGAGAGGGGACACTCACCCATCCTGTACACAGAGGTGATGTCCGTGTGTGCCAGGTCCCCCAGGAGGGTGGCAAAGTGCTGCTCGTCACCATTGCAGGGGAGGTGCAGCACTGGGGACTTCTCCTCTTCACTCAGAAACACAAAGCCCTTTCCCCTGGGGTGGGGCAGGAGAAAAGAGTCAGCGTGTCCCCAGCCCCTGGGACAGCCCAGCTGTCCCCAGCAGCTGGCCCTGGGGTGGGGTGGGATGGGATGGGATGGGATGGGATGGGATGGGATGAGAATGGAAGTTTTTCCACATCTTCTCTTCCTCCCACCACAGACATCTACGTTGTAGATGAGCACAGGATTTTGGACGCCTTCCCTGTGGGAATCCAGGGATTCCCTCTGGCTGCCCTGGCAGGTCTGGGACCCTGGCAGGGGTCAGGAACCCCCCTGGACAGAGCCCCCAGAGACACTGGCTGCGATCTCTGTCCATGGAAAAGAGTTTTCAATCTTACAGGATCAATTACCAGCTCTGAGTCTTTGATATCAGTAATAATTAAGTGTGGCACGGGTGCAAAAGTAAAATTTTAGGATTCTAGATGAAGGGTCCAAAGGGGACAAGATGGAGGAAATTGGGTGTGCCTTGTCCTTTTTCTCCTTCTTCATGCCCTCCATGTTTCACTGCGGTGTTGGCATTTTTCTGTTGGTTCAGGCTGGGGACACACTGTCCAACGTAGGTGACAGATATTGGCACGTTATTGTAAATCCAGCACAGGTAGTTTGTGGTATTTAATGTTTGTACCATCCCACTGAGGGCAGAGCCCCACACGCTGCCCTGCAGGACAGAGCTGCGGCAGGGCAGCAGAACATGTGAGAGATAAACAGAATAAACAACCTTGAAACAGCACAGACCAATTATGGCTTCTGCTTTGGCAACGGGGCTGGCAGACAGAGACTTTCTACAATCTCGGGATCATCAATACCACAGATTCCGACACTTCCCCATCCCTTGTGTTCCATGAAGGAACAGAGAGTCACCACAGGAAAGGACCTATTGGTCTTTTTTTGGAATCCTGAAGCCACAGGATACCACCTGATTGTTGTCTTGTTCTTTTTTTTTATACCTTTTGATATTTACATATTTTAACTGAGTTTTTTCACGCATGTTCATGTAAATAACGATTGTTTTGTATGTTTTTTTGTGAGTAGAGAAAATTGATAAACTGTTGGTTTGACCAGCGTGGTTGGAGAGGAGGCAGTTTCACCCTCCAATACACTGTCATTTTTACTATTGTATATATAGTGGAGTAAAAAAATAAAGTTAGCTTTTTTAAGTTCTTATTCTTTCCTTTTACTAGCCTGCTACTGTGACTTATTTTGTGTCACAGTGTGACACCTGATCTGCTCTGTCCCTTCTGGAGTGTCAGAGAAAAGTGTCAGAGAAAAGGGGAAAGCCCAGCAGACCTCGGTTAATCCTTGTCCTCCTAGTGACTCTTGGAGAAGCCTTTTGGGATGGACATGGAATGGAAGCCACCAAGAGAGACAGCTGCTGAGTCAGGGTGGCATTTACCACCCTCCCTCCCTGGACAGCTCGTGCTGTGTCCTTGGGAGGGTTTGGAATTCTTCTCTGCACCAGTTCTGCCTCCAAACCCAGGGCAGGATTTGTTTCCTCGGCAGGGAATTCTTTCCCCACCCTTGCCAGGCTCCCAGCCCCTCAGAGCTACAACCTGAAGACATTTCCAGGACAAAGTGGGAAACCAGCTTGCAGGAAGCCAGATTAACCCAGGGCTGGATCTGTTCCTCTCCGAGAATCACCTGAGGCAGGTGAAATGTAATTTCTTTGGGCTGCAGCAGAGCCTGGCCAAAGCTTCTGCTCACAGCTCAAACCCACCTCTGTGAAGGTCCTGCAGAGGAAATCACCTGCCCTAGGCACTCACACAGCCTTGAGGTGGGATTTGGAGCCTCCCCTCCCTTTTCCCCAGAATTGAATTGAAATAAACTCACAGAGGTTCGCAAGCCTCGGGATTTACGTGGCGGGTGGGAACGAAGCCAATGCTCCTGGTGCTGAGGGATTTGCCCACAAACCAGGGCAGCCCAGGGATGAAGAAACCAATGATTTCTATAGGATCTCCTCTGGAGAAGCTCAGCTCATCCCACGCTGCTCCTCTGTGGTCCTTGGTGGCGATGCACCTGCCTCTGACTGGGAAACCAAAGTAAAAAAGGAATTTTGGTGGGATCCCTGCTAAAACCTCCTCACTGGAAAAGACCTGGGCAGGGAGAGGCCATGATTCCAGCTGGAGAGGGCTGCCTCTCTGTCCCCTAAGATTTATTGTGATTTTAGATCCAGCTCTCTGCCATTTCTCCTTGAGAAGTGGATTATAATACAAAATAAAAGAGGGATGGATAAACTCCACACCTCTGCGAGCTGCAGCCTGGAAGGTGACTGGAAATATGAATTTTCACAGACACTGCCCTATCTCAGCTCTGCTAGGAGTGAAATCCTGGACAGTGAAAACATCCATCCCTCCATGACAAAGTCACACCTGCAGGGACCTCCTGTGTCCAACTTGCTCTGAACTGGACTGGACTGGGGTTAAGGGGGGTGGTGGGCACAGGTTTTGTGTGAGCACAGGGTGAGAACCTCAAGATTTGAAACCTCACTCCTGAAAGAATTAAAAGAAACATAAAATTGAAGTGGGACAGGGAGCAGTCGGTGGCAGAAGGGTGTCACCAGCAGCTCTCTGCTCTCTGTGTTCCTCAGAATGTGATTTTCAATTTGTGATCTGCATTCCAGAGAGTCCAGAGATGGAGCATTCCCTTAGAGCTGCTCCAGCGGGGTCAGCCCCAGAACAACAAATGGGATTGTGCTCATTTGTGGCCAATCCCGGGTTTGGGGACATGCCCAGCCCTGGGACTGTGCCTTGCACAGGTGTCACTCACCAATGGCCCGAGAGCTCGTCCCACTGATCTCCTGGGAGAGGCCAAAGCTCACAGCATAATTCCTCAGGAACCACCTGAAACGCAAAAGGGACCCTCAGTGGTCCTCTGTGAGCACCCCTGACCTCGGCCAGCCCAGGGACGTGTCACAGCACAGGGGAGGAGCAGGAGAAATTTGCCATTTCTCCAAGTAAAAGGCTCAGCCCGGCGACCAGTGTGAAGCCCCACTCTGGCTGGCATTGCCTGAATATTTTCTGCCACTTCTTCATCTGTTAATCAGAGATAACCTCACATATGGCCTCAATCAATAGCTTACAAAAAGCACATCTGAACAAAAAAACCACATCTGAAGTAGGAGCATGTCCTTGCTGTGTCCCATTGACAGCACCTGCACTGGTTCCAGGCTTTATGCCTAACGTGGATCCTCCTGGAAATATCCTCATGGAATTGTGAGGCTCTTGCCCTCTGCCAGGGGCAAGAGGATTTTCCCAGCCAGCCTTGGTGCCAGTCACGCACCAGGATCAGGAAAGAATCCTGGTCTGGGCCCTTTAATTCACCACTTACTGGTAAAAGGGGTGAGGTATTGGCTCCAGAGCTGTCACGGGCACCACGCCTCGCTGCCCCGTCAGCAGGGACATCCCTTCCCATTTGGAATCCTGCCCAACGCTCTTCACATGGATCAGCTCGTTCCTGCAGAGCTGCAGACCCTCCTCTCCCTCCTGCTCCACCTTGCAGACGCCAGGCACCGCCCTGCAGAAAAAGTTCCCTGCAGAGGGAGATTTGGGGGCTGGATCAGCGCATTGGGGGCTCCAGCACAGCCCTGCTGGAGGGTTCCCAGGAATTCCCCACCTCTGCATTCCCATCACACCTTCCTGCAGGAGCAGATCCATGTAGATGGTGGCCAGGTGCTCCTCATCCACGGTGACCCTGAGCTCCGTGTCCTCCACCAGGGCACAGTCCAGCCAGAACTCCTGGGCAAGGAGCAGCTGCTCCAGGCAGGTCCCCACGTACCCTGAGAAACCAAGAGGGGGATCAGGACCATCATCTCCTTCCCTGGGCAGCAGGAAGGGTCTTGGGGATTTCCAAGTGTCAGGCAAAAGCTTCTGATTTTGTTCTCCAAAATTTACCAAAAGGAATCCTCCTGATTCTCACTGATCCAAACAGAGATTTCATAAACAACAGATTGCAAAGTTTTCTACTTAATTTCTCACTGTCCACCCTGAACATTACAGCTCTGTAATGTCAGGCAACGCCTTCTCCAAAATCCCTCCTCACACTGCCTGTTGAGACCGTGGAAACATTACCTAAAGTCAGATAGGTGGAAAACTTCCAGACCTCCTCCAGGGTTTTGAAGGTGAGGAGGAAGCGATCCTCATGTGCCTGCGTGCAGACCAGCCTGGCTGAGAGCTCCTGCACAGGGGACACAAAGCAGCATCAGGGCACACTCCTGGAGCCCTGAGCTCCAGCAGGCAAGGAGAGTTCAGCCCAGGCATCCTCTCTGTCGCTGGGATTTGTTTGTATCAAACCCAGCCTGAGAACTCTCAGCCTGTCCGGAGCTGTCACCTCCAGCAGGGACACGGGTTTGGTGATCCCAACCCTGGGAATTCCTGGTCATTTAGGCTCAGATCCCCCAAAACTACACAAGGCTCAGCTTTGCCTCTCACTTGCCATCAAGTTCATCTTCCCCATCATTCCAGTCCCCTGCAGCGACCTTGGAGGAGCTCCTCAGCTGGCTTTGGTACCCCAGCACACCTGGCAGCACCCCAGGAGCATGCCAGCCTGCTGGCACGGGGTTTGTACCTTGAACAGGGCACAGACACTTCTGTCATCGCTCTCCAGAGCCCACAGCTTCTTCCTGGCAGCTTCCTGGAGCTGGGAATTGCGGCAGCGGCAGGAGCGGCTCTCCATGGAGAAGGAGAGAGAGAGCTCTGGGAAGGGAAGAGAGGAGGATGAAAGGGGAGGAGAAGGAGCCCCGTGGCACCCAAAGCCACCTCTGCCACCCAGAGCCATCCCTGCCACCCTGCCAGGGCCACCAGAGCCTCCAGGCTGGCTGTGATGCTCATACAACACGAACCCAGCCCGTCCTCATCCTTCAGGCACCGAGGTGAGACCCGAGGCACAGCCCGAAATCTGTGAGGTGCCCCAGGCAGCTCCTTACCTGGGGAAAAGGTGTCCCTGAGAGCCAGCAGCACCACGGAGGGGTCTGGGGAGCCGTGTCCTGCCTCGGCAGAGGGGCTGCTCTGCTCTGCCAGCCCAGCCTTGCCTGGAGAGGAAATGCTGTGGAAATTCCTCTCCAGGCAAGGAGAGGAAATTCCCTTGCCTGGGAAATGCTGTGGCAGAGCTCTTGGGGGTCCTGCCTCAGCTGGGAGCTCCTGGGGGCACATCTGGCTGGGAACCAGCCCCAAGCCATGCTCCAGCTTGGAGAGATCCGTGGGGCTGACGGGCTCTAACTCCATCACTCCCTTCATGCTGGGCTTTTTCCCAGCACTGGAGTGAGGGGATTTCCCTCCTTTCTCCTGGCCAGACCCTCAGATGAGCAGATCTTTTAGAAGGTGAATCCCCAGCAGAGATTTTTTTTTGGAGGAGGCCCCAACTCCCCAGCACAGGAGAGCCGAGGCCTTGCAAAACTCTTTGTTCAAAAATGTGAAAATCAAAATGAGATTTTCTCCCCTGGCTGCTCTGCTGGGTATCCAAAATCCAAGCAACATTCTCCCTGCTCCACACATCGTCAGCTATTGCCATAAAGGATTCAGGGCCTGCAACTTGAGCTGCTAATTATGTTAATGAAAGCTGAGGCACACAAAACTCCAGCCCTGCTCTTCCACAGCTGCATTAGCAGTGGCGGGATAACCAGATTAAACCCCAATTTTTGTCAGTAATCACAGTAGATTTGTAAGATAAACATGTACCTGGAGATGTGGAGCTGGAATGTGCAGCAGCTTTTTAAAGTCACTTCTTTGACCAGAACTCTGCTCTACAATTCTTTTTACTGAGCCAGCTTTGCCAGCCACTCAAATAAATTTGTATTTGCATGCAGAAATAGAATTCTTATTTAGATAAATAGAATTCTTATTTAGAGAAATAGAATTCTTATGTAGAGCTAGCAAATAGAAAAGAACAGCCCAAGGCTGGACAGGTCATGGTTTTGCTTTGAAAGAAAAGGCTCCACATTTAATAAAGTCTTAACAAAGTTTCATGTCCACATGAGGAGATGGAGAAGGGGAAGTGAAAGGAGGCAGAGGCAGAACTAAATCTGAGCTGGTTCCTGCCACTGCTCCACTCCTCGCTGCCTTCCCCCCCTCTCCGTGCCCAGCACACCCTGGCAGGGCCTGGGGTCAGTTCCTGGTGCCATTCCCTGGGGATGGGCATGGGATGGGGATGGGAATGGGCATGGGATGGGGATGGGAATGGGAATGGGCATGGGATGGGGATGGGATGGGCATGGGATGGGGATGGGGATGGGGATAGGTCCCTGGTGCCATTCCCTGGAGATAGGGATGGGTCCCTGATGCCATGCCCTGGGGATGGGGATAGGGATGGGTAGCTGATGCCATGCCCTGGGGAAGTGTCCCTGGTGCCATTCCTTGGGGCTGGGTACCCAATGCCATGCCCTTGGATGGGGATAGGGATGGGTACCTGATGCCATTCCCTAGGGATGGCTCCCTGGTGCCATTCCCTGGAGATGGGGATGGGTACCTGATGCCATTCCCTGGAGATGGGGATGGGTACCTGATGCCATGCCCTGGAGATGGGTACCTGATGCCATGCCCTGGGGATGGGTCCCTGATGCCATGCCCTGGGGATGGGTCCCTGATTCCATGCCCTGGGGATGGGTCCCTGATTCCATGCCCTGGGGATGGGTCCCTGATTCCATGCCCTGGAGATGGGTACCTGATGCCATGCCCTGGGGAAGGCTCCCTGCTGCCGTGGCCGTGTCCCTCCAGCATTGTCCCCGGCGCTGCAGGCCGTCCCCGTGGGGCAGGAGCTCGGGGCAGCGGGGCCAGCAGGACTCACACTCCTCACCTGGGGAACACAGAGAGGGGGCAGAGGTGTCCAGATCCCTGGCAAGGTTCTCCCTGCCTGAGAGGCGTCCCTGGCATGTGCCACCTCTGCCAGCAGCAGGACAGGGCCTGTCCATGGGTCCCCGGAGCCAGGAAGGGGCTGGGGCTCCCTCTGGTTGCTCTCACAATTTCAGTGTTTATTTTCATTGGAGCCAGGCTCAGAAAGGGAACTGGGAGCTTTTTTTTTTCAAGTGCCCAATTGAAACTGCAGCTGGGGAGTCATTCCCAACCATGCCAGTGACTCACTGACCTCCTCAGTGCCAAAATATTCTGTAGCAGTGGGCAGGGAACAGCTCCAGCCCTGGGTCCCAGCACTCAGAGCTGCACTCCTGGGGCTGCTCAGGGCACCCCCTAGCTCTGCTGGGGCACACGTGGCCACCACGGTGGCTGGCCCTGAGCCACGGGAACGGTGCCCTGGGGGATGCCAGCACCCCACGGGTGTGCCTGGAGAGCTCCTGGGCAGGGAGGGGGAAAACCAACAACATGGGAATAACCCATCCCCAGAGTCATCCTGGCCAAAATGTCCTGCATCACTCCCCACACACCCCAATCCCAGAGGAGGGAGCGCCAGGAGCCATCCCAGAGGAAAGGCAAGTAGCCAGAGGGGCCAGTGCCCACTGCCAGAGTGTCCCCAGGGGTCCCAGCCCACGGAAGGAGCCCCACGGGCACCTTACCTGTGCATCCCAGCGCCAGCTCCTGGTGCCAGGGGGTCCCCAGGCAGCAGCCCATGCGTGCAGTGGCACGGGCAGAGGGCTGGCAGAGGGCTGGCAGGGGCAGGGCTGCTCGCTGCCCGCCCGGCACCGCGGCTGGGCACGGCCACAATGCACAATGTCCCCTTTGAGCGGGCACTGGCACGGCGGGGGCGGCGGGCACGGGCTCAGGGAGGGCTTGGAACGGAGTCGCTGCATCAGGCAGGTTTGGAAAGGCCCTTGAGGTCATCAGGTCTGGTACAGAAGTCCAGAGTGCCCCTGAGTGCCACGTCTGTGTCTTAGAAATGGGCACTCCACCATGTCCTGGATGGGCTGTGCCAGTGCTTGCCAAGCCTTTCCATGGAGAAATTTTCCCTGATACCAACCCAAACTCTCCCTGGTGCAACCTGGGGCCGGTCCCTCTCCTCCTGTCCCTGTTCCCGGGAGCAGAGCCTGATCCCCCTGGCTGTCCCCTCCTGGCAGGAGCTGTGCAGAGCCACAAGGTCCCCCCTGAGCCTCCTTTTCTGCATCTGCCTCCAGGAGGGCAGTGCCCATCCCACATGGCACATTCCTGGCATTCCTCCCAGGGAGTTCGGCTCTGCCAAGCCTGCCCCAGCTCCCGGCTGCTCCCTCCAAGCCGATCTCCCCCATTTCCAGGGGCAGAGCTGCCCCCTCACCTGCAGGGATGTGCAGCCAGGGCCCATCCAGCATCCTCCATGCGGGGCTGGCTGCGATGCTGCAGCTCCTTCCTGCCCGGTGCTTCACCCTGGGGGCAGCTGGCAGCACCACGGGCATCCCTGCCAGCTAAATCCAGCTGAGTTCTGCAGCCCGGGCACTGTGGGCACCCCGGGGCAGCGATGTCCCAACTCCACAGCCAACAGCAGCAGGAAGGGCTTGGCTGCTGGGCAGGGTCCCTTGGGCACCCCAGGGTCAGGGTGAGCCTCGTGCCCTCCTCACTCACATCCTCAGACCTTCCCCAGCCCTCGGGGTTGGGATTTGAGGGCTCGCTGAGGTCTGCAGAGCATCTTTGGGCAACAGCAACACAGCCCCTGCAAAATAAAATTTTGGGAGGGTTTAGGGAGACAACTTGCAGGCTGGGGGGGTTTAATTCCAGCAATCATCCAGTGCCACCACTGCAGGGATTTGTGTGCTGGGGTTGCTCCAGGAGTGGTGCTGCCTCTCCCAGGCTGCATCCTCAGCCATGGCAGTGCCTTGAACTTCTCCAGAGCAGGGAATAATTAATCCAGGGAGTGATTGAGGCCAGGACTTGCAGGTTGGGAGGGGTTTTAGGGGTGTGTTTTTATTCCAGTGCCACCACTGCAGGGATTTGTGTGCTGGGGTTGCTCCAGGAGCTGTGCTGCCTCTCCCAGGCTGCATCCTCAGCCATGGCAGCGCCTTGAACTTCTCCAGAACAGGGAATAATTAATCCAGGAGTGATTGAGGCCAGGCTGGATGAGGCTCTGAGCACAGTGCTGCAGTGGAAGGTGTTCCTGCCCACAAGCACAGGTAAATTTTCAAGTCCTTTTCAACCCAAACCTGATGGTCTCTATGACTCCATGACCCAGAGAGGGAATTTCTCACCAGATTGCCAGGCCTGGCACAACTGCAGTGCCCCAGAGCAAAAGGCAGCTGTGGGAAGGGCAGGATGGAACCCACCTGCGTGGAGCTGGTGGCAGCTCCCACACAGAAGGGAAGGCAAACAAAGCCTCTGCAGGGAGGGCTGCACTCGAGATGCTCAGGGCACACTGCCTGGGGGTTTCAGGGCTCTGAGCTGGGTAACTCCCTGGGGGCTCCCCTGGCACAGGAGACTCTCCTGGAGCAGTTCTGTGTTCAGAACAAGAGATGCATTTGGACTTTTTTTGGGTTTTAGCTTTTGTTTATTGTTATCTTATCAAAACTTTAGCACGCTGTCTGCAGCAGACTCTGTATGCAGGAAAACAGCACAAAAATGGCTCACAATCCTTTGTTATAAGGTTTTTTAAGTTTAATCAAAAACTAAGTTACCCAATTAAGAAGTGGCACTTAAATTATTTTCCTTTTTAACCCAACAACTGACCCTTAAAGACTCACAATGCGGATTTTTCTACCTAATTACAAGATACTACTTAAACTGAAGAAGAAAGAGGAAGAAGAAGAAAGAAGAAAGGAACTTAAGACAACACCCTATATCCTCCATCTTGAACTGATCTATAACATATTAAAAATCTTAAAACTTAAGTTTTTCACCCATGTGACATACTCCAGCCTGAGAAAGTGAGGAAAAGAATGTAAATAAGGTTTTTATCTCTCTTGTTGTTCACATTGTTTATAGTGAAGTTCTGCCACTGTGTATCATGCACTTTGCACCCATGGGTGGGATGTTTTCACTTTAGGACCAAAGGAATTGGTCTGCACAAAACTCTGTATAAAGAGCGAAGCATTTTGAAATAAATCAGAGTTATACTCTCACCTTCTGAAGTGGAGTCATTTCATTCCCATCCTGCCTCAACAGCAGCAGGTCCCATGCTGTCCATGCTCGCAGCTCAAGCAGGGCATGTTTTGAAACAAAGCTTTTTGCTTTCCTCAGAAGATTCTTCCTTTTAGCAGTTCCTGCTCAGAAATTAGCATAAATTTCTTCTACACAGGGGATTTTAATTTTTTTTTTAAGCAGCAAAATGGGGGTTTTTAATATTTTAAACACAAATGTCTTCCTTTGTGGTTGTGAAATGTCTTTTTGTTTTTAAGTCTACCTTGACTACTTAGCAACCAAACCAATCCCTGTGCAAGCAAAGGTGTCACCTCCTGTTTGACCTGAGCTGGAATTTGCCTTTTGGTCAGCAAGCTGAAAACCTCTCACTCCACTTCCTACCCTTCTGCTTCCCAACAAATCCTGGATCTCCCCCAGATCTCCCCTGAATCTCCCCTGGATTTCTGCTGGATCTCCCCTGGACCTTCCCTGGATCTCCCCTGGATCTCCCCTGAATCTCCCCTGGATCTCCCCTGGATCTCCCCTGGATCTCCCCTGAATCTCCCCTAAATCTCCCCCGGATCTCCCCCGGATCTCCCCTGGATCTCCCCTGGATCTCCCCTGAATCTCCCCTGGATCTCCCCTGAATCTCCCCTGGATCTCCCCTGGATCTCCCCTGAATTTCCCTTGGATCTCCCCCAAATCTCCCCTGGATCTCCCCCATTGCTGCTGCTGCTGCAGCCTGCTCTCCCTGGAAAAGCCAGGGATAACTCTGGACTATTTCCTGGGATCTCAGCCTGTCCCAGAGCGGGTTCTCTGAGCCTGTGCCCGCTCTCCAGGGGCTCTGCTCCCTCTGCCATCCCGGTGCCATCCCCGCTCCCTCTGCCCTGGGCACGGAATGGGATGAGAGTGGCTTGGGGGGGACAGAGCTGCCACACACCTACATCTCCGCAGGGCTGGCACCAAACCCTTTCCCAAACCCAGCTCGTATTTCTCCCAAAGCCCCAAATCCTCCCGTCCCTCTCTGCCTGCCCATCCCTGAATTCCAGAGGCTGGCTGGGCTGAGCTGGGACACAGGGACAGCGCTGGGGACACTCACACTGACC